TGGTGTTTGGGGGTTTCAGGGCTTAGAGTTTAGGGTTTAAGGGTTTAGGGTTCAGGAGGGGTTCGGGCTTATAGGGTTTAGGGTTTAAGAGTTTAGGGGGTTTGAGGTTTAGGGTTTAGTATTGAGGGGGCTTAGGGGTTTAGAGGGTTGAGTGGGTTTAGGGGTTTAGAGGGTTTAGGGTGTAGTGGGTTTAGGGTTTAGTATTTGGGGGATTTAGGGGTTTAAGCCGTAAGGGGTAGAGGGTTTAGGTGGGTTGGGGTTTGAGGGGGGTTTGGGGCTTTAGGGTTTAGGGCTTTAGGGCTTTAGGGTTTAATTGGGAGTTTAGGGGTTAGGGTTTAGGGGGTTTGTGATCAGGAACATAGTGCTTCAGGGCATACCAAGAGGACTCCTATTTTTGGGACTGCAAAGTTGAGGTTTTTGATAGCTGTATCGTCGTCGTCGCCGGGATTGCTGCTGTTCTGTATGGCTTCCTGGTTGGTTTTACGTCATCATCATATGTACATATGTATGTCCATACTGGTGTCATTCGCAAGTCCGTAACCCTGCTTGGATTGGATAGGGCTTCGCGCGCAGCTCCTGACCCAATGCCGCCTTTGGAGCATCCTCCTCTTGCCCATCACGAAGTCCATCATCATGTTCACCAAGCCTTCCCATAAGAAGGCACACACAGAATGTAGGCGCCTGAGCACCTGCAAATTATGATTCTTTCAAAGCCCTTGTAGAACTACCGTATGAGATTGCCCCAGAATCTATTGATTATCAAGGCCCATACGCCCCTGTAGCCTCAGATTCTCAACATCGTCCTTCAATGTAATTTCCTCAATCCGGTCTGAGATCTTGGGTGTTCTTTTCTGTAAATGTGCCGCATTCCTAGAGTCGGATCTAGGAAGGGGCCAGGGCTTGTAAACTCTCATCCCCAAACCTGTAATCGAGTACACTCCTCGATCATGCAACCCGCAAAAATGGAAAAGCAAGCTCCAAAGGGTATAGGGTCTAGGGTTAAGGGGTAAAGGCTTATTTAGCCCTGCAGCCCTACACTCTAAGCCATGTCTGAGCCCTTCAATCTTAAAGCTCGAAATCGGCGTCGCAGGCTGGCATTTTCGGCTGCGGCCTCAGTTGCAATCCCTGGCCCTTATAGCACGCCCTTCACCCGAACTGGCAATGAGCACTTCCTGTGTGTAGATGTGTACATATATACGTATGTACATATCTACAGACATCCGCAGACTCGTAGTCGCAAGGATACACATGCACGCAGAAAGTTGAAGCTTTGCATCACGGGGTTAGTTTTTTTGTTTGCGTTGGGGTGGGATCATCATACTAAGCAACCCTGCGCTGCTTTTGGAGGAAGTGTCATTTGGGCATTGTTCTAACAATATGGGTTTGAGATACAGGGGTCAGCGTCATGTTTCAGAGCCTCAGCCCTGGGGTTCAAAGCCCTAAACCCTAGGGGTTTAAGGTTTAGGGCTAAATCCCTAAACCCTAAATCCCTAAACCCTAAACCCTAAATCCCTAAACCCTAAACCCTAAACCCCTAAACCCTAAGTCTTGAACCCTGAGCCCTAAATCTAAGAGATAGGCCTTCAAGAGCCCACATAGTCTGACGACTTTTGAAGACATCCCAATGAGCCGACCCCCATTGTTAGACTGTTTGGAGAGATTGCCATTTTTTGACGTGTTAGGGGTTTGGGGGTTTTGGGTTTAAAAGGTTATGTAAAGGAGATTTCGTGGTGAAATGCAGGGCCATTGACTAGAGAACATAACAGGAAGACTCTAGGGCGCGCAGAAATTGCAGAATCAGTGGCGCTGCATCTACATGATAACCTTAGGATGTAGTCCTCTTTGGAGTAGACCGTATGTGAACAATAGTTTCGCTTGGCGGAACCTCAAACCAAAACCCCAAACCCTGAAAGAGCACACAACCACAGTTTGAAGCGCCCAGAATGCGATGACTTCGCCATCGTCAGCAACGTCACTGCCGATGTGCTTCTAGCTGGCCATGCCTTTGGGCTGCACAAATGAACCTTGGTTTAGGGTTTAGGGTTCTACCCATTGGGGTAATATTGGCTATATTGGGATACTGGAAAATAGAATGGAAACTACAGGGATGATACGGATTCTAATCGTATAATAGATTTTTAAAGGTTCCAGGACCCAAATAATAGGGCTTTAGGGCCCAAATACCATTAGTTTTTCAATCATCTACCCATTAGGGTAATATTGGGGTCATATTGGGATAGTGGAAGATAACATGGAAACTACAGGGACTATGGGGATAAACCTCTGAACCCTATACCCTCAACCCTGTACCCTAGACCCCAGTATGGTGAGACAGAGCACTCCCTCAGCGTCGCTCAGGGCTACCTGCTGGAGCAGATTGCTTCAAAGGCAGCGTGCAGCGTGGGATTATGTAAGGGGCATCTAGGGATTATATGGGGCTTAGGGTGTAAAGTTAAGTTTTTCAGGGTTCAGGGTTTAGCGCTCAGGGAGTACCCTGCTGCTAATCTTGAATCCTAGTTGCTGAGTCATCTGAAACTCTGCCATATGGTTCAGTTACCCTAGGAAGATATAGTAACCTAGCACAGTGTATATGGGTGTGCCCCAAATGCATGCTGTAGCGCCTAAGCGAACTCAGGGGTTTAGGAGAATCTACAGAAAACTTCGCGTGTAATTGCTCTTGCACTGAATCTCGAACTGGGTCTCTATCAGCAATACTTACATTCGGCAGTGAAGTCTATAAGAAGTACTTGCATTGTTACGCAATTCAAGAGATCCTGCGCAGGTCTACATGATCGATACAAACCTTTTTTCTCCAATGGTTCGCGGGCCGCCTGGATGCTCGGCGCAAGCAAAGCAAGAGCCTGGTGGGCTTACCCAAAGGGTCCATGTAGGTATATGGTATATATTTAGGGCCTAAAGGAGTTCCCATATACCTACTTTAAGACCCGAGTATATACCATACACCTACATGGACCCTTTGGCTTACTAAGAAGGCTTCGGTGGCCTCAGCCCGCAATTTAATGACTGTGTAAGAGTTATATGAGGGTCTCGGATTTCCGAATTTGGGGCGGGGGTTGTTAAAATCTAGTCACAGACCCTTAACCCTATGTATGTCCTGTACATACCCCTATGTATTCAACCTCATTTCTTTAGAGGAGTTCTAAATCTTATGTGCTTTACATCACCCTGTGTCCTATGGGTCATGTCGTACTTTCCATGAACCCCAACTTAAACTACAAAGTTGCCAAAGGGTCCATGTACTCAGTGGGCTTCAGGGTCATTGGTACCAAAATCCCCAGTAGCCAGGTGGACGCTGACGGTTTTTGGGCGGAAAGCCCTGGATACAGGAAACCTGATCTTCAAGATTTAGTGGTCGGCAATCTACCACTAGCATTCTGAGGTCTATGTGAGGCACCCATACCATAGTCAGATCAGGACTTTGGGACCATAATACAGCTAAGTATTTAGTGCTCACACTATAGGGAGACCCCTTGCCCTCCGGAATGAGTTGGGGATTGCAGGGGTCGATTTGGGGATTTTTTGATTCTAGAGTGCACATGTGAGAAAACATGTCTAAAGGATTACGAGATGATGGCAGATTTAGGGCTTAGGGTTTAGGGGATTCAAGCGATTCAAGGATTCTACTAGTGCAGTATAGGGAACAGCGTCAATATCAGGACTAAGGTATCTGGGCTCCTGGGTGAAAGGTAACCTTACAAGCTGTGAGAGAGGCATCCTCGCGATTACTTCGAGGATTGGAGAACGCAGCACGCAATGGAAGACCGGGACACCTCCCGACCTTAGCCAGAACCCGACGCAACGTCCAACCATGTTCCGCGATGGCTGCCTGCCGCGTCACGCAGGAATTCCTCATAGTGTCATAGTGGCTACCAGGGCTCAAGCGGTTCATGCTGCCGCTCGAACTGGCCTTGATGTTTGGGTTGTTATAGTCTGTCATGCAGGCGATGGAAAACAAGTGCTCGCTGGTTCCCTCGAGCTCTGGAAGCACCCTGTGGTGGAGTGTGCATCGAACGCCTGCGGGGTGACAGACCGATGCACAGCCTTGTACATTCAAGAGTCCCTAGGTAACGCAATGTGTGTTCCCAGCGTTGGCCTAGTTCTGCTAGCAACACTGGTTTCAGCTGAAACCAAGTTTTCAATAACAAATGCCGTCCATCCCTGCGCCGAGTGAAAGCAGCCCAATATACCTTGAGGAATATACCTACAATGGTATGAGTTGTCTTCTTACAAGTCCTGCACTCGAAACCATAAACCGTGTGGTTCTAATTGTCTTCTTACAATCCCTACAAGGCTTGTCTGAACTTCACTGAGGGAGCCATTTGGTCACATTCTGATAGAGGAACCCAAACATATACCAGCATACTTCCTTCAAATTCCTTGCCGGCAAGATCTGGAAATTTTGACCTCGAACCCTACACCCTAAAGCCTAAATCAAACGGTCTTCTAAGACCCATAACAAGGCTGAGCGTAGCCTCGTGAAGCAGTAGAATGGACCCTGCTGGAAGGCTTGAGGAACTTCAAGCCCAAGGACGAGTCTAGTTGCGATCTACCCATCCGATAAATGTTCAGTCTGCATACACAATGTGAAGTTAACATATATCTAAAGGGTTTAGGGCTTAAGAGAAAGTAGGGGCGTTCTGCCCGCAACTAGTAGTATGGTTCTGGTTCAAGCTTAGTATCGCAGATGCGATCGCCAAGCCCAGGGGGTGGAAAAAACACATCGAAATTGGAAACCTCATCTTACATTCTGTACATCCACTGCATGCCAGCATGCTTTCGACTTGAGGAGAACTTGTAGTCCTGCCTCATGTAGATGAGAAAATCCAGCCCAAAAATCCTATGCTAATGCATGTTTGACCATTGCAATTCCCTGCACTAGTACTCCATAAGACCCACCCCGTACAACCTATGCCCTGAAACAGATCCCCAATGCATGAAACCTAGATCCAAGTCTCCCAGCCCAGAGCTTTACCTCATCTCCCAGAATATTAGTCCAGGGTCTCGGGTTCAGGGTTGAGGGTTTCAGGTTTGGAATTTAGGGTTTAGGGACATTTAGGCTCAACGAGTATTATTATGTGAGTTGTTAGCAGGGACTGGATCCGTGGATCCCTATAGTTGCTCCTATAGACCCTGCAACAGCATAGTAATTTCCATGTTCTTTTGCATTTCCTCCCTATTCCTTTCTTCCACTGAAACAGTCAGCACTACATATCCCTATGAACCCCAAACTAGATTTCATTTTGCACGTGCTGCTCCAATCGATTTTCCACTCCCTACTAACCCTAAACCTTAAGTCCTGACCCCTACACCCTAAACCCTAAACCCTGAACCCTAAGCCCTAAAGCCTAAACTAACAAGCAGCAAGATAAGCCGCCCCAGGATTCGATCCAAGCTCCCCGAAGGAGAAAGGCAAGAAGGCCCAGGGCAGCAGGTTGTTTAGGGCTAGTGGGTAGTTTAGGCTTCCCAAAATTAGGGGACATAGGGATTATGTAGGGTTATATAGGGGTTATATATGGATAATGGAATGGAAACTGCTATTTAGGGTTTAGGGTTTGGGGTTTAGGGGTTTGAGAGTCCAGGTTTAGGATTGCTGGTTCAAAAGGTGCAGTATTGAACGTCGTAGATTGTGTACTGCTATCCCCCGAAACTCTAAACCCTAAACCCTAATCCCTAAGCTTTCATGAGGAACGCTCTGCCATCATCGTCTCATTACATACGCATGGTAATGTAAAGCCCAAAGCCCCCTAAACCCTAAACCCTAAACCCCTAAACCCTAAACCCTAAACCCTTAAACTCATTACTTAGGGCCCTGCATTAGGTCTCAGGGACTCAGGCCGAAAGTCTCCCAAGAGCCTGGGTTGCTGTTAAGGTACTTAAACTAAGTTACCATAAGAAGGAAACATTATGATTTTATTACATACCCAGAATATGGTAACTAGACTTAAGATCCTTAACACCAACCCAGGAGGGTTGAGAGTTTTCAGGCTTGAGGCTCGGTCTGGTGTAAAGAAAAAGCCCTCAAAGGGTTTGACATAAGTGGGCTTGCGACACCCTGCGCGTTTGGCGGCGTCCGGACCGAGGTTGACGGCAAGCAGGTGTTTAGGGTTTAGGGTTTAGGGTTTAGGGTTGTCGGGGGCGCAGCTGCGGTCGCGAGCCCCAGTCCCCCTTGGCACAATTGCCCTGGTGGGGCGATGGGGATCACGCGCGATAGAGCGCTATGTGCAAACGTCTGCCTAGGACTGGGTGGCCAGATGAAACACCTATTACCCTATATTACCGTATAGTGATATAGTAGCTTCCATTTTCTTTTCCATTATCCCAATATAACCCCAATACAACCCCTATATATACCTTATATAGCATAGTAGTTTCCATTTCTTCCCAGCCTCTGCGCCAGCAATCCCAGCGCAGCAGACACAGACCCCGGCGCCCACACAGATGGACGACATCAACACAACGACAACGTAGGGTTTAGGGTGGTTGTGTGTTGGGTTGTGTTTTGGGTCTTGGGTCTTAACCCAGACCCCTGATCAGTAAACCCGCTCCCCTTAATAGGGATAGTCATAGGCATTCTAATTTTTTAGGCCTTTTAGGAGGAGGGGGGTTCATTCATAACCATAAACAGTAGTTTCCGTTTTCTTTTCCATAATCCCTATATTCCCCTATATTATTGTACTATATTACCCCTATATTACCCCGATAAGGCCCTTAAAAGGGGGGGGTTGTTAATCATGGGTCTACAGTACGTATTCAGGGCTGAAGGCTGCCGTTCTTCGTCAGGCAGCAAGCAGGCATGGGATTGGCCCTCGAAGTGTGAGAACATGTGAACTATAGTCTAAACTCCTTAAAGGAGGTTATATAGGGGACTATATAGTTGACTACTATAGGGGCTATAATCTGGGGGATACCAGGAGTTTAGACTATAGCTCATGATGAACGTAGTGATCAATATAGCCCTAGACCCTAACCCCGCAGAACTAAGCGCAAAACCCAACGTCCTGAACTCCTTGCAAGTCCAACAATATAACCCTAATATAGCCCAAATATAACCCCAATATAACCCCAATATAACCCTAATATAACCCCTATAGAACCCTAATATAGACCCTAGAACCCTAGCCCCCCAGCAAGTCCAGCATCAAGCGCAGCTGGCAAGCTGAATCCGTGTAATAAGACCTATATAATATAGGGATAATGGAAAGAAAATGGAAACCCTAGGTCCTCTTAAAGGGATATATAGGGTTATTTAGGGGATTATATTGGGGTTATATAGGGATAATGGAAAAGAAAATGGAAACTACTATAGTATAGTGGGGTATATATTGGGGTTATATAATAGTGTAGTAGTTTCCATTTTAAGAACGCTGGCAGTAGAGGGTTGAGGGGCTCAGGGGTTTAAGTTTTGGTTTTATTGGGTGTGGGGTCTAGGGGTTGAGGTTTTTACAAGCTCTTTTTGCCTCCCCCAGAAAATATCTATATGAGATATAGTCTAAGCTCAAAGTATCCCCCTTAATAAGCCCTATAATTTTTCAGGAGTTTGGACTACAGCTCATGCGCCGTATAGCATAGGCAACGTCTGGAATTGAGGGGAGATGGGATGGGAGCTAGGTAGGAAACCATTCAAGTTATAACCAGTTTGTGACCTTTCTTTCCTTTGATATATGCATATATATATGTGTGTGTGTATATATATCCTAAACTCGAGACCCTTGGGGCTACTTATTCAGGGTTCAGGGAACCCCTATACTCAACCCTTTAAACCTTGAACCAACCCTAGACCCTAACACTGGCATTTCGCAATATACCTACCTAACATGGGAGACCAACTGTGATTTTTTTTGAGCTTTTCTGGGTTTAGGGTTGAGGCTTCAGGGTTTAGGGATTAGGGTTCAGGGTTTAGGGTTTGAGTTTTTCTGAGTACCACATACTGAGAACGAAGGTGGGGGCTAGAAGGTGGGAAGAACAACGGATGGGTGGTGGCGGGATGGTCCTTTTGGCTGTAGAGCTTCCTGATCCCAGCAAAGGATCCCGGATTGTAAACAACAGCAACAACAACATCATCGCCATCATCATCAACAACACGCCCTCTTCAAAACTATTTCTCACCCAAATTCCTGTACACAGCTCTTCGTGTGTTTGGGTTTCTATCCTTATCGTCCGACTCGTCAGCAGGGCGAAGAGCACTTGGCAAACACGCCGGTCTTCCTGCAGCTTGGCAGAAGCCGGGTTCAGGGTTCAAGGGTTTTAGGGTTTAGGGTTTAGGGTTTTTCGGCTTTAGGGTTTAGGGTTCAAGGGTTTTAGGGTTGCTAAGAATTCGCAGGCTTGGAAGATGTTTGTGAGCGCTTGGAGGCCTAGAGCCTCTAGTCTCTAGGCTTCAGGTATGCTACACATCCAGAAAACAGTGACCCCACCGTCCTACCACGGAGTGACTATAAACCGAAGCTCGCCAACACCTACGCAGAAGCCAAGTTTAGGAAGAACCCTAAACCCTAAACGGTTATCTTAGGGTTGTATTGGGGTTAGAAGGGTTATATTGGGCCTAGCGGACATCAAGATGGAAGCCCTGAGAGTCATTACGAAGACGGGGTTTTTGGAACGGAAACCTTTTTTTTAAGCATTCTCATATTACTGCGGTATGGTAACTGAAGCCCAAAACCTTAACCCTATATGCCAATATTATGGTAACTTTATTTAAGTTCCTTCACAGCAAACCAGTAATTCGAAACCCGAAACCCTAAAACCCTAAACCCTCATTGGCAGCAACCCAGTAGATTCCGGAGTCAAAGCCCCAAGCCATGCAACCGCGAAACTCCGACACTGAAGCCGATCGACCCATGCAGAGCCTGAACCTGAAACCCTGAAGCTGCAAACTCAAAGATGTGGTGTTTGGGGTTTAGGGTTAAGGGTTTTGAGGGTTTTTGGGGCTCAGGGTTAAGGTTTTTAGGTTTAAGGCTTTGGATTTTGAGTTCTAGGGATTTTCTTTGGAGTTTGAGGTTTAAGCTTTAGCCATCCGAGACTCCAGCATCCATACCTACCTACATCTAAGGAAAGGGTTTGGGGTATAAGGCCAACCCCTAAAACCCCAAGGGATGCTGGTCAGGCTTTGCAGGCTCACCGTCTGCCGTGCACCCAAGACAGCCAAAAACAATCGCCAGGGATTTTGAAAAGGTCCTCTGTTAGGGATTACAATGCTATGCCCCCCCACCCCCAAGAGTACAATCCCCAGAGCTTCAAGAGTTGAGGGTTTAGGCTCCATATAGTCCTTGTTAGCTCCTTAAACCCTTGAGGGGGATGGTATGATCATCCCTGAGTATCCAGGTAGCACCCTGAGTTGGTAAAGGTGTCATACAGGAAGGTCTATGGCAGTCACCTCTTCTAGTTTAGTAGTTCCCATTTAGCATTGATTGTTGAGCACCTAACGTCTCTGGAGTTTGGGGTTTGAAGTTTAGGGTGGGAAGGAACCTCCAGGGTGGAGGAAATGGGTCTCAGGCACTTTTGGAAGGCGATTCTGGACGTCGGAGAATACAAGCACCTCGTCCAGCACGTTGGGGGGTGAGGTATCCGAAGCTTTGCAAAAACCGGACGCCCATAGTTTGTAGAGACAGAATGCTTACACGGGAGCCGGTGAAGTCAGTGGTATACTGTAGGTATATTGATCATACTCAACATTGGGGGTCTGGGAGTCTAAATATCAGGGGAGGGGATTACAAGGTCCCAACAACCAAAACCCTAAACCGCGTTTAATTGTAGGTTTGCTGTAAGGATCCCCGCGGCTTTGGAAACTCCTAAACCCTAAACCCTCTCCTAAACCCTATAAGCCCTCAGCACTAAACCCTCGGGCGGGCCAGTGGTTCTCAGGTGGTCATTTTTGTTCGTTCTCATGTCGAGCTTCCAACTTTGCTAGCAGGGAAGGGTGGCTGTACCACATGCGGGTTCAGGCCCTGCTTAGAAGCCGCATGGAGAATTCTGAGTTGAACGTCTTAGGACCTGGCATGAGAATTTAGGGATCAGCGATCTAAGGGCGCAGCGCTTGGGATATTGAATGTCAGTGTGACATTGTTACTGGGTGGGATAAGTAGCCCCGTCAAACCGTACTACTCATGTTCGTTGAGTACTACTCTGCTAGTGAACCACTGGCAGGTTCTTGTCCTCCCTGCGTGCTCACGACAAGATAGTACTGCCATCATTTCTTGGTGTTGTGGCTCAGGGCTTAAGCCCCAAGTCGTACAGTACACGCCAACCTCGAAGCTGACATGAAAACCCATACCAGCTTCTTCTATGAAGATAACCGCAATCTAACCCAGTTTCCATTCCACTTCATCTTCCAATTTTTCCATTTGATTCTGCATTCATTCCTTGTTGGAGTGTCTAACGTTTATGCTTTCAAGTGGTGGGACCTCTTTCACGGGGAATCTTGGGAAAGGAATCCCAAACCGAGCTTATATCTTTTTTAGGCACTGCCATTTGTCCTTCACCAAAGAAATGTGCAACGTTAGAAGGGGCCCTGTGAAGACTGCTGGCCTTTTGGGGTTATATACGGGTATAGGGCTCGATAGGGCTATTACTCTATGGGCCGTATATAACTGGCAGAAATTTTATGCAACTGTCACTGAGTGGCTCTGCCAAGGAAATACACTTACACGGTGAAGGTAGACATCGACACTGTGAATCTGGGCTTTAAACATCTAAGCTTGTTTAGGGTTTAGGGTTTAGGACATAAGAGAATGGATCCCGACAATTGCCATACCATCTGTAGTTTTTCTCCGCATGTTGGATGCATTTAGTGGAACCCTGCAGTGGATTCTGAAGCCTAAGTCCTAAACCCTACATTCCGAAATATCCGGGCTTCTACATTATCCTTCTCAGCGAGTTTTTTTTTGTTGTACACCTATGGACCTTCTACTTCGTACATTTTGGGTGGTATCACACATGACCCCTAAACCCCGTAAGAGCTATAGTCTAAACTCCTTCAAGGGGGGTTATATAGGGGATTATATGGGAGTATTAGAGGGGTTATTAAGGGGGATACTAGGAGTTGAGACTATGGCCCATAAAGCACCAGGCTGCATGCTGCATGTGGAAGCCGGTACATCAGCTAAGGACCTCTCTTTGAATCCTATCCAAGCAGGACAATAAACAGTATGATAGCATACCTGATGTGGCCCTGGAGGCCTGCATGAAAGAATCAAGATATGTACCATAGTCGAAACTCCTTACAGGGGGGGCTATATAGGGGATTATATAGGGGAGTGTTATAGAGGTTCCTAAGGGGGATACTAGGAGTTGGGACTATAGCTCATATAAAGGCAGCATAGGTCATACAATCGGCAAGAACGAGCGTCAGTAGATCGCCTCCTGCGTTGATACCAGAACTCCTGCATGACTCCATGCAGTTACCTCATATGTTGCAAACCAGGGTAATCCGAACATTGCCTAGTGTCCATTTCATTTTCCATTATCTTTTCCATTCGATTCTCCTTTATAGCAGTTTTGATGTCATTTCCCATTTATCCCTAGTGGTATACTCATGTCATACAAGCTTTCTGTCTCCAGCAGCAAGAAGCCCTAGCCCAAAACCCTACAGTAGCGACCACCGTCTAACATTCTGAGATTACCTTATAGCTCATATGCGCTATAGTCTAAACTCCTTAAAGGATTATGTAGGGGTATATTATAGGGGTTATTAAAGGGGATACGAGGAGTTTAGACTATAGCTGATATGGATCCTGGTTTCAGACGAACTTCAGACGAACCACAATGAACTGCCCCGAGCAATGCACTTCCAGCTTTCAATTATGTTGGGAAACAATATTTGAACATGTATGTTTACTGGGCAAACCCTAAATGGTGGTTCCATATAGGGAATAGTACCAGAATGGCCTTCCTAACCCTACCCCCTAAACCCTGCAATTGAAATCATTCTAAATCACCTTGTGTTTAGGATTTCAGGCTGTTGGGGGTTTGAATTTAGGGCTAGGGGTGACTGAACCTACGCAAGCCGGGCGTGTAGGTATTCTCCCTTAAGTAGATAGAATATGGGGTATATTGGGATCTTATTATAATATATCCAAAGCCATATTCTATCTACGTAAGGGGGACCATAACAAGTTGTAGTGAAAAAGGAGCATGTTTAGCTTTAATTCCCTTTCGTCTTGCTTTTGCATCCAAGTGGGTTTGGCTTCAAACCTTCCTTGCAAGGCCTTGTCTAGGGTTTAGGGTCGATGGTTGGGACCCATACATTATTTCTGTAATGTCCATATCTCCTCTGGGATATTTACGGGTATATGCGCGACCCCAATCGAAGCCTTACAATCCTCTCATCCGGCTTCTAACCGAAGCCGCTCATGTTTTGGAAGCTCCCCAAGCGAGATGGGTAGGCCTTTGTTTCTAGTATAGGGTCCAGCACATACCGGAGTAATGTTTTGGATACGAAGTCTGAGGAGCTTCATTGTGATATCTTTCCGGTACCCCGCACTGAATGGAAGGAACTACTTTTGGGCTGTTGGGCTTATCGAGAAATTGATGATCTGAAGGACTGCCTTTAAGCAGTACTCTCATATGATGCCCACCTCTGCTACTGCCACTACTAAGCGGATCTGATGCAGACTTTGCGAAGCCCTCCACTGATCCTCTGGTGCTGCATATGCGAAGAGTTATAGGGCTTCATAACAAGGACTGCTTGAGGGATCGATCCGTAAACCTCAAACCCCCTATTTAGCACTAGGCCGATCAGGCCCCTATACTCTTGTGCCCTAAACCTGGAGCATCCGAGAATCCTCTCATTTGAGGCTTCTTCCAGATAGGTTATCCACGCTGCTCCATGGTCGGCCCGTAAGGGCAGAGTATTTCCTGAACACAGACAAGGACATGTATGGCAGCGCAGCTGCATATCGGTCTTAGGGTTTAGGGGTAGTTTTTTTTTCATGGGATTGCTATAGTTCTAGTCCCCACCTAGTTTTGAGTCAGGCAACATCTTCCGATTACTTAGGGTATTTGTATGCAAAACTACTCAAGTGGACCCCAATCCGGAGGCACGTTGCGCAATCCATGTATCAGACGAGCTGGTGATCTCTTCAGGGGCAGTCCCTGTTTTATCATGTGATTTGCAGGGATGCTTTTCATCGTAAGAAAAGGCTACTTTTGAGACCCCAAATCATTAGGACAAACCCCCATGAAAGCGTTCGAGTGCCGTCGTAGGTTCCTGTCCCCGCGGTTCCGAGGAATCTACCCCAACGTTAGGGTAAGTAGGGGTAAGGAGACCACCAACAAATTTTCATGTTTGTGACGTGAATTAGTAAGAAGTAGGACTTTGCAAAGAATTTCATGTCTTGAGCTCTTTGGATGTTGGTTACATGTACCTACTTTAGGCTATTTGGACCCCTTGGGATAAACACATAGTATGGTAGTTTTCATGAAGAGAGGGATCCCAATGGAGACCCCAAAAATGTTCTAGGCTACCCCGAAAGTGTTCTACACTGTAATTTAGGGTTTTGGGCTGTAGGTAGGGCTTAGGGTGTTACGATTTGAGGGTCTAGGGCTTGGGGTGAACAACATTGAACTACAGCGAGTTTTGTAACCCTAGACCTTGGGTACTGCCCCCTCCCAGTGACAGTCTGTATTAGGGGTCATATTACGGGCTATATATATAACCCGATTATAATTATTATCCAACTGTTAGTGAGGGCGGGCAGTACCCAACCTAGACCCCAAACCCGAACCCTAAGCCGAATTGAGGGCTAAAGTCTCGGGATCCAAGCCTCAGGGCTTCGATCCCAGGAAGCAGTGCTTTCGATGCAAGATCTGGGAATTAGGGTTTGGGATCCAGGCACAAGTTTTAGCATTTAATCCAAGGCTTAGGATTCAGGATTTAGGGCTCACGTTGTAGAATCCGAGGTTCAAGATTTGGGATTCAGGGCTCAAGCGTTGGAATCCAACGCAGGGGATGCAACTCTGAACCCTCAAAGCCTGACACCCTAGAACCCTACAACCCTAACACCCTAAACCCTAGAACCCTAGAACCCTAAAACCCTAAAACCCTAAAACCCTAAAACCCTAAACAGGCAACTTCCTGCATGGTCCCATTGAGATCATGTCCAAGGATGCCATGGTGAAGCTTGGCTAGCCTGGATGGATGGCGGTTTTGGATTCAGGGTAAAGTGTAATCGGGCTTAGGGATCAGGGTCCTTCATATAGGGATAAGTATTGTTTGTTTAGGGCTAGGGTGTATAGAGTTTAGGGTCAGAATCAGCCGCCTTGTTTACATACTTTTTTGGTTCAGGCATACGAAAACCTTTCTGCCTGACTAGAGCCGGTGCGCTTGTGCTTCGTGGGGTTTGAACAGTTCTGCTGCCTTGGCAAGGTTTAGTTTGGCCTAGGGGCCCCCACTGATTCCACTTGGTTTTCAAAAAGGGAAGTCTTGAGTTTGGGGTTTAGGATTCTTGGGGTTTACGGTTTAGGGTTTTGGGGTTGAAATCGTCTTTGTGGGCTCCTTTTCCAGTTTAGTTTGGTGCAGTGTAACTGGGACTGTATGGGGACCGTCATTGGTTCTGATTTGAAAGCTGTGTGTGACAATGCTGCAGATGCACATGAGCAGTATTCGAAACAGGGATACTATCGTCCTTGCTCCTGCAAAAACCCTAGACCCAGTGGTCGAACTACAGCCATTCATTACCAGATATAAATGGCCCCTGTAGAACTCTAAATGAGCACAGCTGCAGATGTGCATGTTTTATTTATGCCAGTGGCTCATTAGGAGGAGCTTATTCAGAGAAACCCTCAAACCTTAAACTGGAAAGACAAGATGTGACATAGAGAACCTAGACTCTCCCTCGCACCCTCCGCTTGCACTTGCTCACTTCGGCTTTTCCAGCAGAAATCTGTTCTTCCTCTCCCTCTCCTTCCTCTCCTCCTTCAAGCCCTCCCCACCCTCCCCTCCCTGACCTAAACCCCTAACCCTCGACCTATCCTACAGCCGAGGTTATTTAGCGAGCAGTCAAAGGAGTGCTTCGGTTTGCGCAAGGCTTCTTAGACGAAGACACCCTGAACTGTTAGCCTCAGCTGCTTGAAGATCTAGGTTTTGGGGGTTTTAGTGCTGCACTTTCGATTGTATCCTGGAGTTTGGAGGCTCTGAGAAAAACCTGTTAAGTCCCATAATCCTCACAAGATTAAGAACAATCTCTGCAATGCATTGAAGCAGAATCCCGGAAATCGTGTGCACACTTAGCATATGTTCGTCGTACACAGATTAGATCTTAAAAGCGTCCCGCACTCCAACCCTGAACCCTAACCCCTACTTCAAGCTAGTATATTGGGGTTATAATGGGATAATGGAAAAAGAAAATGGAAACCACTCTAATATATAGGGGTTATAATGGGATAATGGAAAAGAAAATGGAAACTACTATAACACTTAGGGGTTATAATGGGATAATGGAAAAGAAAATGGAAGCTGCTACATTATATTAGTGACACCAACGCATGCTACAGTCTCGTTGTTATCTTTTTGTATTGCCGTCTCTGTAGTTTTGTAGTCGTTGCTGAAGCCCAAAAAAGGCAGTGTTTGTAGCATACCTTAGGTGGACCCCCCACCCTGCAATAGTGACTATAGTGACTATAAAGAACAATAGTAGCCACATTAGAGTCCTCTTATATTCCTGTTATGTCACTATTACAGCGTGGGGGTGTCCTCCTAAAGCATATCGGCTAAGCCCAACAAAGGCCAGAGCCCAGAACGGTATGCAAGTGACGCGCCATGTTTTGCTTCATAACAGGGTTTAGGGTTTAGGGCATGCGGCTCTAGCCGTTCTTCTGGGAAAGCGCTAACACATTCACGAAGGGCCATGATGTCCAAACGTGCAAACGATAACGCGCTCACCAAGGGGCCAATGCATCTGCCCTGACGAGAAATTGTAGTTTCCCTAAGCAGCGGGACCCCAATATAGACCCCAAAATACAATTATGATTCTTATTATAGGCGCCCCCCAAAACAACATGGTTTTGGGAAACCCCCCCAGCTAGCAACCGCACATGAAATTCTGACTTGTCCAGCACAGGTTTTATCGTAGAAGGTTTCACAGGCAGGCTTTCTTCACTCCGCACGCCCTATCTGAGCTATAGTCTAAGCTCGTTCGATGGGGCTTTACAAGGGACTATATAGAGGAGCATCATAGGGGTTATCAAGGGAGACACTTGGAGTTTCGACTTTAGCTCATCTCGAGTTTGTGGATCCCTTTTGCGGGCTACTGGTCTTAATAATGCTGGTTTGCCCGCAACTTCTGAAAATATCCCCTCCAAGAAACATAGAACCGACCCGACACCCTAAACCCTGAAGGACTGCGAGGCCAAGATATCCAAATTGGCTTACGGAGAGGACTTTTGGATGAGACTGCGCAGCACCATCTAGCATTTGGGTTTGTTGACTGGAGCAGTTCAAAGATTCACGTGCACCAGTACCTCCCACAATTGCAGTTCTTACATGCCGAGCCATAATATTCTAGGAACTGGACCTTCGTCCCCTCTACCTTCAACCGAAAAGTGTAGAAGTTTTCTTGGACGTTGGTTTGAATCTTTCTCGAAACGTTTAAAAATCCCCAAGAGGCTACAGTCATGTGTGAGACTGTCAATATTAGGTTCACTAAGGGATCCTCAAAAGGGGCCCCCCTACGTCCCTCTTGTGTGTTTTAGTACAGTCCCTAATATAGTCCCTAATAAGGAACCCATGTCCATTGATTATCTGCATAATATTAACGGCAGCTTATATCCTCATGGCATGGATAGCCCTGGATCGTAGATTCTTGGCTTGTAGTTATCGCAAGCTTTCGGCGGGGCTCGGGGCTATGGCTGGGGAACAGTCATCCTAAACCGATAACTTGCCTTAACCCGGAAGCTTAGGGGGTACTTAGCATATCTGCCTACCGGGCGTCTTCCGCAGTCAATATGTATTCATGCCTCGCCATTTGCCTGGGAGTTCCTTTCTCTCTGTTGTTTTATTGAGCCTGGGTTTTCTGAATTACTTACTCATTTAAATGTTTTTTCGTACTTTAAAAAGGAGGATTCGGTAACCCGGACCCCCCCCAAGTTAAGACCTTACCGTTAGATAGCTACACGGTCCAGAGAATTAGTAGAATCCTCAAATATAACGCTAAAACCTCCCTAAACCCTAAACCCTCCTATAGCCCCAAACCCTCCTAAACCTTAAACCCGGTCGTCCCAAACCAGCGCTAAAACTGCAGTTTTTTTGGGCTCCAAGGTTTAGAGTTTAGGGTTAAGGGTTTAGGGTTAAGGGTTTAGGGGTTAGGGTTTAGGGTTAAGGGTTTAGGCTAACTAGCGTTGGTGCCTCAAGAAGAGGGATTGGGTTTAGGTGTTAGGGTTATGGTACATTATGCAAACCCTGAACCCCAAGCTCACTAGGGTTAGAAAAGGGGAGAAAGGAATGTATACAGTGTAGGGTTTAGGATTCAGCGTTTAGGTCTAGTAGGAAATAAGGGAAAGTTATCAAATATGGGTTTTATAGGGATTCTATTCCCTTCTTCCCTAGTAAGAACCAGTAACCAAACCTTAAAGCCCTAATAGGTATGTGGGAATGTCAATTGTTTGAACGCTTTTCGGCTACCCACCATCTGTACATGCATATGTATATACATAGGTTTAATAACTTAATAACAGCCCAGCCAGCTCAGGAACAATTGCCTGAAAGAGTTGAAAGTGGAGGCAGTATCAGGACTGCACATCCTCTACGACATGCACCCTGGCCTCTCCCTAGGGCTCCCCAAATATATAGTCCCCCTTAAGTAGATAGAATAGAGAGTATATGGGGATCCTAATATAATATACCCAAAGCCGTACTCTATCTATTAAGGGGGACCATAGGGTTTAGGGTGTAGGGTTCAGCCATTAGGGTTCAGGGTTTCTGGCTTATGTTTCGAACCCGAAGTAGATCCAGACTATAGACCTTAGGAACCAATCTAGGCATTATTTCTGGTCTCCGACTAGTGCCCATCCATAGTTTTTCGGCCTCAAGGTTTGGGCCCATTTTCAATCCCTGAAACCTGCGGTTTTAGGTTTGAGGGTTAAGTCCTGAAGCCTACGAGACCTATAAACCCTAAAGTCACAACTGTCTGGCTGATACCGGTTCGCGCTGTGTTTCTTCTTCAGCTTCGTGGCATCTCTAAACCCTAAACCCATGCCTTCCTTTTGCACCTTTCTTGCAAGAGAGCGGGGGGAGGGCTGGGTTTTCTATCTGCATTGTTTATTGTTTTGTCTTGGAACCTCCATGTACAGTGACAGGAATTCGCGCGGAATTTCCATATAACATGATAGGAATGCCATGGAAGTCCCTATGGAAAATTACAGAAGCCCTAAACCCTAAACCCTTACTATGGGAATCTCCATGTAACATGGAAACTACATCCGTGCTTGTGCGGGCTCGCAGTGAATCAAGGGCCTGCGGAGATGTGACTGTGGGGATAAGGGTTGGTAGGGCTTAGGGTTTAGGGTAGTAATGCCTTAATCCACCCGTCGTAGACGTAGATAGGAATGAATCGCGAGTACAGAAGAACTTCTGAGCTGCACAGCTCAGCTCTGACAACCGCGTTGGGCACGCATCTCACTAGTCTAGGATCCAAGTAGTAGAACGAATCCCTGACTTTGATCCTGAAGAACAAGACCGAACTCCGGCACGTCCCCTATGCCGTGAACCATCTTGAACCACATCTTGCAGCAGAGAATCTGAGGTATAGCTACGGCGAGTACGCTCAGATGCTTGGGCTTTAGGGCTTGAGCTCTGCCTGCGGCATCGTTGCCTGACAGCCTCTATATTGGGATTATGGTGATTATATAGGGGTATATAATATAGGGGATAATGGATAAGAAAATGGAAGCTACTACATCATAATAGGTTGCCCGTATTGAAGTTACGGAAGACTGTGCGTGGGTGAGGGCAGAACCGAACTTAGAGTCCCTAAGTCCCAAACTGAAGCTCTATTCCTATGGAGAGTGACTGCTCAAGGCTCGTTTCCGGAGGCTGACTACGAGGTTTAGGGTTTAGGGGTGGTTCCCAGCGTTATTGCCCCATTTCGGTACCCGAAGTCATTACGTGCCAGAATATAATCCACAACCACAAGGGTTCATGATTTTGAGAACAACCCATAATTAAGCCTCTTTCAGACCTCCCTAAGGCCTCCCTAAGGCTCCCTAAGGTCCCAAAAGGTCTCCTATTATGGGGCCCCCTTACATGGGGCCCCCTTAGGGCTTCCATAACATGGGAGACCTCGCAGGTTTTGAGGGAGCCTTTTCTCTGGTGACTTTGCAAGGTGCAGGCCTAAGCTGCCTCTAACCTCGACTGTGCTGGGAACCCCAAACAGGGAACCCCAAGAATATAGCAGGAATATAAGAGGAATGTACCTACCAGGGTCCTTATATTCTACTACATTCCTACTATATTCTTGGGGTTCCCTGTTAG